CAAAAACAAAAACAAAAACAAAAAAACCCTCCTCTCACCCCTATGGGTGGTACTGTATGTCTTTCTCAATCTTGGGTCTTCTACCAGAGGCCTGGGAATTTGAGGGTTCTGCACAGTATCTTAGCTGTTCCTAGCCCTGCACTCTTCTGGATAGAGAGCTCTGATGTTGTTCCTGGGATCTGTTGGAACCACTCTCCCAGCTTAGTAGTCACAGCCCCGAGTGCTCCTATTATCACTGAGACCACTTTGGCCTTCACTGGTTCCTCCTTCAGGTCCTGGTACTTCTCCAGCTTCCAGCTTCTGGAAGCTTCCAGCTTTTCCACCACTAATTAACTAACTAAATATTATGTGTGTGCGCGTGCGCACCCAGGCACATATATGTACCTATTTTGTCACCCTCAAACTTGAATAAACTTCCTAGTCAAATGGTAAGTCTCAAACCACTGTGAATCATGTTTTTATGTATGAATGGTTTCAGTTGTATGTAAAAGTTCATAAGCAGCTTGCAACCACAAAATGGGAGCATATACATTTTTAAAATAAATAGAAGAAATAAATTTGCTCAGGCAACATACCAAGAAAGAAAGAGAGACAGGGAAGATTTAAATATTTGTAAGATCTTGATATTTTGGTGTCTACATATTAGTACTCAAAACACTTTAAAAGATGTTAAATTGCATGATTTAGAGAAGATTAAAGATTATTTTACAATAAAGGCTACAACTTAAGTTAGCACAGTTCTGAGTCCATTACAACCCAAAAGTTTCAATATATTTAGAACCATGTTAAATTGTAGCTACTGGACTGCATCTAGAGTTAAAATGTTCTTGCATGACAGCAGTCATTAATTTTTCTTCTTAATGTTATTTTAATGTTATTATATAGTTACTGTTTTTTCTTTCTTCTGTCTTAAAAAACAACTCCACTAAAATCATAACAGAACTTTTTTTTAAGGCTGGGTGTTCTTTCCCCATCATTCACATAAGTCAAGAGTTGGGTTTTTTGTTTTTTGTTTTCAAGCCAAGGGTCACATATGACTTTTGAAGAGTGTTCATTTGTTTGTTTGTTTTAAACAGCATCCCAGGCAAGTGAGAGCAATGTTTGAGTATATACAGTGTCCCAGAAATCTCAACATCTTGCTATTTTTTAAAATTTTATTTCCATGTCCCCTCATCTTTTATTTTTCAGTTTGATATTATGCTAATCTTGAAGTTAAATGCTGTCAGTTTTCCTTTCTCTGTGCTATGTCTTTCTGCTGTTGGCTAGAAACTGGAATAGACTCTGGTCCTTTCACAAGAATGTTTTCATGTTGCTGTGTTGCATAAATTACTTCTCTTGTCCAGTTTGTAAATCATTATCTTGAATGCTTGACTTCTGTTGTCTTTCTCAGTGACATGAGTTATTGATGATAATAATAAAAAAATCCTAAAAAGGGGGCTCAAAGGACATATTTACTAGTTGTAAACTACCCACCATTCTCTACTTTGCACTCACTATTGTGAAACTATACTTTGTGAAATAGTTCTTTGAAAATATGTTATTTTCAGCAGCAACGTATTTGATTATCCCCTAACCTGTTTGCACTAACAATCTTAACATTATTTCCCTTTGTTTGCCTCCTCTCTTGAAAAGGTTCCTGCTTGAGGCTGGGCCAGCAAAATGGATGTTCAAATATGTGTTTTTGTGTTGTCCTCTGCTTTGTATTTCTGGCTTTGAATTTACTTGCTTCTGAAAGATATTCTGCTTGTCTTCATCTCCAGCTTATTTCACTTGTCTATCTGTCAAATATATATTCTGTTCTTCCAAAAATACTGGTGAGAAAATAAAGAAATTGCTCCACTAAAATATTTTGCACAGTATACCATTGCATTGTGACCTTCTGAACATAGGGGAGCAAGGCCCATTGAATTCATGTATAAATGTTCTATGGGTTCTATGGCTAGCTAGAAATAAGTCCTGCTCCTGGCCTAGCCCAGCCAATATCAATATCATCCTTCTACTGAGAGAAATCCAAAACTCCACAGTCCAGAACTTCAGGCAAAATAAATTTCATACTCCAAATCAATCAAATGACTGTGATCCTATGCTGCAATATAATGTTCTCATTTAGCCATCTGACTTATACAAGCTAAAAATACTTGCTTATGCCCTAGATTACACAAAGATGCTCTTTGCCTCCAATGAATGGATGTGGTATAAAAGACAGCTTGTTAGAAATGTACAAAGTTTTTCACTAAACACGGTGTCAGGCTTTGGATGTTAATATAATGTCAGATGTTAATACACTCATAAGAATGCTAACTTGACCACAGTGCTTGTTATTCATACAATATTCTCTGGTTATAATTGTCAATAGAGCTCTATATTCATGTCACACCATTTTTTGTATATTTCACAAGGACTCAAATTCCTCAGCATTAAAAAGTTAAAAGCGAAGGAAGAATGGGAGGAAACAGATCATTGAAGGGACATAAAAAGAATACTTCAAGGAAAGATCATGCAAAAAATTCTTCCTGCCTACCTCTTTTTTCCAAAAATGCCTCTTGAACAAGAGGGAACTAAGCAGATAGGGAGAGCTATCTTACAGAGCCACAGTGGGAAAGGGCCAACAACAACAACAACTATAAATGAAAGGAGGAATTTGCAATGCTATTGCAGGCCTGCTAATTTCAATTACTCCCTCTCCTGCTGTAGCTCACTATTCCATTAATTTAGCAGATCCTCACTCCCTTAATGAGTATCTACCAACTTTTTGGAAGGGGGGGGGAGTAGATTCAAGAATCTGCAGGGGAAGAAATTGTTGGCTATCACAAAATATGGTTCTTGATTGCACCAATCTTTTCAGGCTTGAAATTCCCATGAAAATATCAGTTGTTTTTTGGGGGGGGTTGGATTTTTTTCCCCCTTAAGGCTGACATTATCAGTCTATTGAAATTAGAAGGAAATTTGTATAATTAATAGGCTGTGGGCCTAGTTCTCACTAAGGTTTTGACATTAATCATTTGTGGACCTAATTCTCAAGAATTCAGTTTGTGGTAAGGTAATAACAATTGTTTCTGCAGAACAGTGTTAGAATTATTCTGATTAATGTTCTAATTTTTTGATAAGTTTTTGGAAAAAAGAAGAATTCCATCTCTCTATCTAAGATGATGTAGCCTAAAGACATATTCAATGAGAATTAAGCTTTGTGGCTGAAAAACTGCATATATCACAATTTTGTGAGTAATGAATTTGGATTTTAATCCTAAGTATAAGAGTTAGTGCTTATACTCTTAAGAGGGTAGCCCTCTACATGGGGCTACCCTTGAAGCGTATCTGGAAGCTTCAGAGTGCAGCTCCGCGCAAGCAATTTTTAGGGTCCAAAGGACCCATATAACACCTTTGCTCCGTGAGCTGCATTGGGTATCAGTTTGCTTCCAGGTCCAATTCAAGGTGTTGGTTATCACCTTTAAAGCCCTACATGGCATGGGGCCAGGCTACCTGAGGGACCGCCTCGCCCCCACTATGTCAACCCGTCCCACCCGATCTCACAGAGAGGACATGCTCCGGACCCCCTCGGCAAAAGAACTCCGCTAGCGGGGGGCAGCAAGCCGGGCCG